CGGGCCTCGTGGGAAGGCGCTTCCCGCTGGACGCGTTAACCGAGAGCGGCGAGGTGGCCCCGGGGGACCGATCTGCCGGGCCCCAGGCCAGCTGCGAGCAGCGACCTTGGACAAGTCGCTTCAGTTTTTTTCGGGTTTAGTTCCCTCGTCAGGATTTCAAAAGTAAAATGTAAAAGAAACACGAAACAACCCTCCGACTTCCTTATTTTCGGAACCACCTTTTTTTGTGTGCCTGCCCCTGATTCAGCACCGACCTGGAGCCGGGGTAGTTAGTTAACCCTGGCCAAAGGAGAGGGGTCTTTTGGCTTCCTTGAGCTGCTCATTTTAATTGTGTGTCTGGGGGTGCTGTTCTGTTTTAAGGATCATCTCACTCGTCGTCAGTTATGTGTGCGGGATGGTGCTATGTTAATTACCACACAGACTTTAAAGATGAGTAAGACCCGGCCCTGCCTTCAAGAGCTTTCAGTCAGAGAGACAGGTGTACAACCTCATAATAATAAGTGTAATAAAGATAAGAGCTGCGTGAACTAACTGAGCATCAAGGGACCTGCGTGAGAAAAGGGACTTGGTAGGGGGATGTGATATGAACACAGATAGTGGCATTTGAACAGAGCCTTGAAGTATGAGGGGGCTTCAGAAAGTTCACGGAATAATTCCATTATCTTTTAATCTTTTTCCGTGAACTTTCTGAAGCCTCCTGAGAAACGGTGTACCATGACCAGGTAGGGTGGGGCAAAAGATAGGACATGAGCGATGGCATTGAAGGTAGGAGGGCACTGTGCGGATTGATTGGTTGAGGATGGAGTGGTGGGAGGAAGTGCAGGCAGGGGGAGGGAAGAGATCACTTTCCAAAATTAGTTGGGGCCAGATTGGGAAAGGCCTTGAATACCAAGCCAAACCCAAAAAAGCCAAATCCACTGCCATGAGATCAATGATGACTCATAGAGACCCTTTGGGACAGAGTAGAACTGCCCCTTCAGGTTTCTTAGACTGTAAATCTTTATGAGTGCAATCCGCCTCATTCTTCTCCCTCAGTGGCTGGAGTGTTTGAACAGCTCATATTGCAACTCAATGCTTAACCCATTATACCACTCAGCTTCCTTGAATGTCATGCCAAGGAGTTAGGAATATATTCTGCACCTGGGGCGTGCAGGAGGTAGAGTGCCTCAAGGTTAAGCTCAAGGTGGACTTTGAAGGGCAGAAAGTCTGGGTGTGAATTCAGGCCCCAACCACTTACTAGCCATGAGCTGAGCTCTTATCTATGAAGTAGGTGTGAAAACTTAAAGTGCTCCATAACTACTGGCTCTGGTTATTAATGAGAGAACATGACCACATCCATATTTAGAAGGCTAGACAGATAAGGACAAATTTGGGCCCAACTCTGAAGTACCATTGTTTTCCAAGGTCGCACTAGCATTTAGTTCATGTCCGTGTTATCATACTGTATAAGGAATTTTGGAGAAAGCCACATATGCTCAGGTTCCTCTGACTCTCCAGGTGACTAGCAGGAATTTGATGCTGTGGCATTCTTATCTCACTCCGGAAAGCCACAGATCCCTGGATTCACATTCTTTCTTTCATGTTTTAGCTGTCCTGGATAATGAGAGGCTTACTGCTGAGGAGATGGATGAACGGAGAAGGCAGAATGTGGCTTATGAGTACCTTTGTCATTTGGAAGAAGCAAAGAGGTAACGATTGGCTGGAGAGAAGATTGGGAGAAGGGAGCTGATCTGGTGTGAATACACATGCAGAGAGTGCCTCTTCAAGAGTTGTGGGAGGCTCTGTGTTGTAGGGTGTGGCAGTGAGAGACTGATAGTTGAAATAAGTGTGGGTAGAGTTTATTAATAGGAGCAAGTAGTTTTGATGGTAGTTTATCATTAAACACTTGATGGACATTTATGTCTACTGAAAAATTTCCTCATATGTGCTATTGTTTTATGATTATGGTACATGTTTTTTTGTTTACTTTATTTTATTAAAATATTTTATTGGGAGCTCTTACAGCTCTTATAACAATCCACACGTCAATTTTATCAAGCATATTTGTGCATATGTTGCCATCATTTTCTAAACATTTACTTTCTATTGAGCCCTTGGTATCAGCTCCTCTTTTTTCCCCCTCTCTTGTCTGCCTCATGACCCCTTGATAAATGATAAATTATTATTATTTTCATAATGGTACATGTTTTGGACACTTAGCAGCTCTAAGGTACAAATGGCATTTTTAGACTTTGAAGTCCTTGGCTTTAATGTATCATTAATTGTTCAGTGGTTTTGATATATATTTTAGTCTTATTTACCCATGAATTTTTGAAGCCCCCTTGCATATGAATGGGCTCCCCTCTCCCCATGGCTTGAGGAGTGAGTATGTGTTTTTGGAAGCACAGAAAGATGAGTGTTGTGGATATGGGTTCATTTGACAGCATGAACAACACAAAAACAATTAAACCAAAGGCAGCATCCTCTGCTTTCTTTATTAAATGACTTTATACCTGGCATTTTCAGATGCTTCCGGATCTCATGGTCTTATTTTTTAGAGTGTTGATTTGCTTCATTGTCAGTGGACCATTTCTTTTTTTTCCTTGTATTTGTGTTCTTTGCAAAGTCCTCCTGGGTAGAGAAATGTAATTTAAAACAAACATCACTGCCACGAATAGATTCTTCCTCACAGGGAACCTGCGGGTTTCCGAGACTGTAAATCTTTACAAGAGAAGAAAGTCTCATCCTTATCATGTGGAGTGGTAGATATTTTCAAATTGCTGACCTAGCAGTTAGTTAGCAACCCACGACGTAATCCAGAGAAATGTAATTACAGATCATATAGCCTGTCAATCACAGGTTAGTTAGAAAGAGATAAAGAAGAGTGTTACTAATCAACATTTATTGAAACATCAAGAATATTTCAAATGAAATTAGTAAACAAGTTTCTTTTAATTGTGAAGACTAAGATGGTATAGAAGTCCAGAGAATAAATAACAGATATATCTATATCTCTACTGCCCAGATCTAACAAAGGTTAACCCTCCAGATCTTTCCCCACTTCTTAGGGGGAAAATGGTATTTCATTCTTATTTTTGAAAAAAAATTGTGCTAAAAATATACACAATAAAAGCTTGCCATTTTAATATTGTGTTTTTTTTTTTTACTGCAACATGGGTTCTGTGACATTACATCATCATGTTGTGCAACTTCACCACTGTCTGTTTCTAGTTGTCCAGTCACCTTTAGCAGAAACTCGGTAACCCCTAGGCAATGACTTCCCTTCTCCCCATGCTCCTCATCTCTGGTAACTACTCATAAACTTTGATCTCCATACTTTTACTAAATTCTAGATAGTTCTTCTGAGTGGAGCCGTACAGTATTTGTCCTTCTCTTGCTGGCTTATTTGACGTGAGGTCGTGTTTTCTGGTTCTTCATGCTATTGCATGTAGCAGTACTTCATTTTTCTCTGTGGCTGAGGCCGTGTGTATGGACCACATTTGTTTATCTTCTCATATATTCTTAAGACTTTTAGGTGGTCTTTACCTTTTTGCCTATTTGAATAGTGTTGCAGTGAACTTTGATGTCTAATGTTCTTTGAAACCCTTTAAGCCCTTTGTATTGTCAGAGTGGAATTGCTGGGTCATAATGTAAATACGTCTTAACTTTGTGAGGAACTGCCTATTTTGTGGCTGAACTATTTTGCATTCTGCTAGCAATGGATAAGGTTCCAATTCCTCTACATTGTTGCTTCCATTTGTTTATTTATTTTTGTTGTTGGTTTGATCTTAAAAGCAAGCCCACTGCCATTGAATTAATTCTGACTCATTGTGACCCTACCTAGGGTTACTGAGACTGTAAATCTTTACCGGAGCAGTTAGCTTCAGCTTTCTCCCACAGACCTGCCAGCGGGTTTGATCTGCTGACTTTGGTATTAGCAGCCCAATGCCTAACCCACCGTGCCACCAGGTCTCCTTTATAGCCATCCTAACGGGACTGAAAGCGTATCACTGTGGCTTTGATTTGTACTTCCTTAATGACTAATGCCATTGAGCATCTTTTCATGTATTTGTGGACATTTGTACATGTAGACATTGTGACGTAGGAGCCCTTGTGGTATACTTTGGATTACGATTTGGGCTGCGATCTGCATGGTCAGCAGTTGGAAGCCACCAGCAGCTCCTGAGGAGGAAGACTGGGCTTTCTACTCTATAAACAGTTACAGTCTTGGAAACCCACAGGGGGTCGCTATGCGTCAGTATTGACTCCATGAGGTTGTTGTGTTTTTGGTTTTTTTTTTTGAGAGAGACACATTGGTGAAATGTCTACTTGGGAACTTTGCCCTTTTATTATTTTTAATTGGGTCATTGTAATTTTGCTTCTAAATTGTAGTTTAAAAAATTGTTCTTGAAAAAAAAAAAGTATGTTCTTGGATTCCTGGTGGCATAGTGGTTATGCGTTAGGCTGCTAACTGCAAAAATATGTCATGTTCTGGATAGGTTTATTTAATATATGGTTACTGAGAATTTTCTTCTGGTCTATAAGTTATCTCTTTATTAGTAAAGTGCTGTGGTGCACAGATATTAAATTTTTTTTAGTTTAATTTTAGTATACATGCTGCCGAAGCAAGTACTTTATTTTAATTTTTATGAAAATATGCACAGCACTTCTGTACTGTCAATCCCCAAACCTAGACTGTGAGATTGGTTAGGAAAGGTAGCATTCTGTGTTTTGAGTGGCTGTCAGAATTAAGTACACAATGAAATCAATTTCATCCCCTCCCCTTTTAAAGACATGCATTGGGCTTCAGAAATCTGAATGTTACTATGTCTTGGTTTCTTTTCTTTGATCTGTTTCACATTTAAGATGTTGAACAACTGGAACTTGTTGTAACCAAATCATCGGTGATCGCAGTTAAGACTGGTTGTCCTTGTCACCATTGTCCTCACTCTGTGTACAACCTACTAGTTAAGTAAACAATAAAATCTGTTCTGTCTGTTGCTTTGGAAAAAAAGAAAGAAAGAAAATATGCACAGCAAGACTGGCTCCCATTGCAGTTTCCAGACATTAGTGACCTTGGTTGCATTCTTCACAGGTATCAATATTCTTGCTTTTCTTTCTTTCTTTCTTTCTTTTTTTAAATATTCTTGCTTTTCTTCCATTGCTTAAATTCTCTGCCTCCCCCACCTCCTCATTGATGCTTTCAAATAGCTGTTGACACTTTTGTCTTATATAGATAATTTAAAAGGTACCGTGAAAAACCCTCAAGATTCAGGATGACCATCTTTATTCTTTGGGCTAACCTGTTAATTCATTTAAAGATGTTGTCGGGGTAGTTTCAATTCATGGTTTGAATGGCAACTCAAGGCCATATAGCCTCAGGCCTTGAAGCTCCATCTTAGCTGCTCAGGTAATTGAATTCTTTTAAGACTGTGAATTTTTTTGTTGTTGTTCCTTGTTTTTCCTCCTTTTCAGGATTCCTCTGTTGTGTTACTGATTAGAACGTTCAGTCCTGCACGTAGATTATGCATTTCTGGTCGCAAGTGGGAGGAAGGAGATGTTTTAAATATGATGAAGTCATGCTTTTGGTGTCATCTAAGAATCCAAAATCTGACCCTGAAGCATTACCCCTGTGTGCCTTTTGTGGTTTTAGTTCTTGCATTTAGGTTGTTGATCCAGTTTGTTAACTTTCACATAGGGCAGTCTCTGTGAGTCCAGCTTCATTCACTTTAAAAAAAAAATCATTTTATTGGGGGCTCGTATAATTCTTATCACAATCCATACATATATCCATTGTGTCAAGCACATATGTACATTTGTTGCCATCATCATTCTCAAAACATTTGCCTTCTACTTGAGCCCTTAATATT